AGAATCACAGGAACAGGGTACGGGGAGCTAGAGATCATCCAGCAACTAGAGGAAGCGATGAGCCTCCTTATAAAGGCCGTCTGGCACCAAACTGAGGCTGATGTGTACTTCTGCGGCCATGTAGAGTACTGGCAGAAATGCCAGATCTTCCAGAACTCCTGCCGTGGACAGGACCCTGACACAGGCCCTTGAGATCAGAGAACTGCCTGAAAGACCTTATGTCCGAAGCTAGCATCAGATGAGGCCTGGACAGCCACCTCGTAATACTTACAGGCAATGACTGTGAAGCAGGGTGGTAAACAGGCCCTTGAGATCAGAGATCTGGTCAATCTGGAAGAGCTCATGGGATGTTTTCCAGAATTACAACCATTCAGTGCCATGAGGAGCAAAGGAATGCCATCCATCTCGATGCTGAGGAGAAGGCAGAGGGTGCAAAGAATAGATCAGGCTGTAGTGATCCCACAAAGTCAGCAGAACATCCAATGCTGCCATCAGAAGAACGCTGTCTCTGGAGAGAAGCCTGACCACTATGTTGCTGAACCTGGAAGCCAGGAGGTCCACATCCGATATACCACCTGTGACACAGGTCCTCAAACACTTGACCTCCATTCCGCCAGGTCGAGGAACTGCTTGCTAAGAAGGTCTTCCTGCCAATTAAGAGTGCTGATCCATTGTGTACACACCTTCCCCACCACTGTCAGGAGACATCATCATAGATGGTTGATCCTTCTCCACTCAAACAAGGACCTGGATGAAGGCTTCTTATGTCACCAAATAACGTCTTTGAACTCTTTGTATTAGAAACAGAAATGTGGATTGCCTGAGTGGTTATCATTTTATGTATATAGCCCAATCAATTCATGCAGCCCCTGACAAAGTATGTACCAAGTTTACATCATTAACCCCTCGCCCTCCAGAGGATTCCCCCCCTTCCTGACCAGGCCATTTTTTGCGATACGGCGCTGTGTTACTTTAACTGACAATTGCGCAGTCATGCAACGCTGCACCCAAATGAAATTTATGTTCTTTTTTCCCCACAAATGGAGCTTTCTTTCAGTGATATTTGATCGTCTGTGCGTTTTTTATTTTTTGCGCTATAAACAAAAAAAAAAAAAAAGACTGCCGATTCTAAGGAAAAAAAACAATATTTTTTACTTTTTTGCTATAAAACAAATCCAGTTAAAAAAGTTTTAAAAAAAATCTAATTTGTTCGTAAATTTATGCCAAAATGTATGTCTGCTCCGTGTCTTTGCTAAAATAAATCCCAATACGTGTAAATAATTGGTTTACGTGAGAGTTATAGCGTTTACAAATGGTGGTGTATATATACAGGATTTTTATTTTTTTTATACTAGTAATGGCGGTGATTGGAGACTTATAGCGGGACTGCGGCGGGTATTCTGACACGGGGGGAGGACTAACTGCCACTGACATCCCAATAACACCAATACAGTGATCAGCGCTAATAAAAAGCACTGACACTGTACTAATGAGCAGGAAGGGGTGGGGCAATCAAAGGGGTTAACTGTGTGCTGTTCTACTAGGGAAACATGCTGCTGTGTATTTCTCTGCTGTGCAGAGAAATACACAGCAGCATATCCTTGCTGGCAAGACATAGACCTGCGTTGTTTACCCGTCAGTTCCACACAGAGATCACCAGGTACCGGCGGGGAATCTCCAACCGGAACCTGGTGATTGACATCTGTAGCCGCCAATGGCGGCGCGGGTAGGGCGGCGCATGCGCGTGCCCCCTACCCGGAAATGCAAGTCATGTATACATATGTGATTTTGCACAGCCCTGCCGCCCTGTAGCAGTAGTTCCACTATAGGGCGGCAGGAAAGGGGTTAATGATGGATGAGGCAACCGATTGATCGCTGCCATCTGCCAGGTAGATTACCCTGTGGTGCCAGCTCCTGATCTCAGAGCTCAGGTTATAGAGGCACAGAGCACAGGGAAGTCCTAAGTTCTTCCTCAGCTCTGATGCGTCATATGACACAGCTAAGGGGGAAACTTGGGAGGTCTTCCCTCACTCTGCTGCATCTGAGGTCTATGAGCGAATAAGAGAGGGTGGAATCTGTGCTATGGAACTGTTGCTCAGGAGTTTCTTCTGACCCCTGCACTCTGTGCTGACCTCTGTGTTACTCCTGACTTCTGCATACTGTGTTACTTGCACCTCACATCTGCACTCTGTGTTATGTACTCCTGACCTGCACTCTGTGTTACTTGCACCTCACATCTGCACTCTGTGTTATGTACTCCTGACCCTGCACTCTGTGTTACTTGCACTTCACATCTGCACTCTGTGTTATGTACTCCTGACCTGCACTCTGTGTTACTTGCACTTCACATCTGCACTCTGTGTTATGTACTCCTGACTCCTCCATACTGTGTTACTTACTCTGACCCTGCACTCTGTTACTGATTCCTGCATACTGTGTTACTTGCACCTCACCCCTGCATACTGTGTTACTTACGCATGACCCCTGCATTGTTAGTCACTCCTTACCCCTGTATACGGTGTTACTTACTCCTGACCCCTGCATACTTTTAGTCAATCCTGAGCCCTGCACACTGTGTTACATACTCCCAATGCCTGCACACTGTTTTACTTGCACCTTATCCCTACAAACTATGTTGCTTGCACTTGACCCCTGCACTCTTGTTAGTCACTCCTGACCCCTGCATAATCTGTTACTTACTCGTGTCCACCGCATGCCGTGGTTACTTACTCCTGACCCTTGTATACTGTGTAACTCCTGACCCCTACATGCCATGTTACTTACTCCTGACCCCTGCATACTGTGTTAGTAACTCCTGACCCTGCATGCCCGTGTTGCTTACTCCTGACCCCTACATACTGAGTTACTCACTAATGACCCCTGCACACTTTTAGTCATTCCTGACCTCTGAATACTGTGTTACTCACTCCAGATGCCTGCACACTGTGTTACTTGCACCTGATCCCTACAACCTATGTAGCTTGCACCTGACCCCTGCACTCTGTGTTACTTGCAGCTGCCCCCAGCATACTGTTACTTACTCCTGACCCCTACGCACTATGTTACTTACTCTTGACCCCTGCATACTGTATTACTTACTACTGACCCCAGCATTCTGTGATACTTGCATTTGACCCCTGCGCTCTGATACTTGCTCCTGCATACTGTGCGACTTACTCCTGACCCCTGCAAACTATGTTGCTTGCACCTGCCCCCTGCATACTGTGCGACTTACTCCTGACCCTGCAAACTATGTTGCTTGCACCTGCCCCCTGCATACTGTGTGATATACTCCTGACCCCTGGATATTATGTGACATACTCCTGACCCCTGGATACTATGTGACATACTCTAGACCCATGGATATTGTGTGACATACTCCTGACCCCTGCAAACTATGTTGCTTGCACCTGTCCCCTGCATACTGTGTGCCATACTCCTGACCCCTGGATACTGTGTGCCATACTCCTGACCCCTGATACTGTGTGCCATACTCCTGACCCTGGATACTGTGTGCCATACTCCTGACCCCTGGATACTGTGTGACATACTCCTGACCCCTGGATACTGTGTGACATACTCCTACTCCTGACCCCTGACCCCAAACTGTGTGCATACTCCTGTCCCCTGGATACTGTGTGCCATACTCCTGACCCCTGGATACTGTGTGCCATACTCCTGACCCCTGGATACTGTGTGCCATACTCCTGACCCCTGGATACTGTGTGCCATACTCCTGACCCCTGGATACTGTGTGCCATACTCCTGACCCCTGGATACTGTGTGCCATACTCCTGACCCCTGGATACTGTGTGCCATACTCCTGACCCCTGGATACTGTGTGCCATACTCCTACTGGATACTGTGTGCCATACTCCCCCTGGATATTGTGTGTGCCATACTCCTGACCCCTGGATACTGTGTGCCATACTCCTGACCCCTGGATACTGTGTGCCATACTCCTGACCCCTGGATACTGTGTGCCATACTCCTGACCCCTGGATATTGTGTGCCATACTCCTGACCCCTGGATACTGTGTGCCATACTCCTGACCCCTGGATATTGTGTGACATACTCCTGACCCCTGGATACTGTGTGACATACTCCTGACCCCTGGATATTGTGTGACATACTCCTGACCCCTGGATACTGTGTGACATACTCCTGACCCCTGCACTCTGTTACTTGCACTAAATGGAAAAAGAATGTGAATCACTTCTCATTGGTCAGCCCAGCCGACATCAGAACAGTACAAGCCTCAGCTGCGCCTCTCCCTGGTCCCTGTGGGAAGGCTTATCTTTTCTGGGACGTTGTAACTGAGCTTTTCATTGGTCAGACCAGTCGTCACATGATTGCACCGATCAATGAAAAGCTCTTCGTTCTTCTTGGACATCTTATTGGCAGAAGATACCTCAGATGTGCCTCTCATTGGTCATTTGACCATGTGACTGCACTGGCCAATGATAAGTGTTTCTTTCTCCCTGCACACTGAGGCTCCTCAGGGGCGGCCAGGATATTTGGAGTTCGGTCACCCGCTCATTTTCCATTAACAGGTGAACTCACCCTTCAAAAGAAAAAACAACGAAGGGCTCATTGGCAGTCACAGCTCCACCAATCCCCGTCCTCGGACTCCCCACACCGGCCCAGCCCCGTTTATTGTTCCAGTCGGCAGCCCTGACGTCACCTGTAGGAGCCCGTCCACCGACTGCTCACATCTCCCGCTCCGCTTCACATCCCCGCCAGTCACATGACCCACCAAAACCACGCCCTTTCCCTCAGGACGCTTGGGTCGCTCTGTCATGTTTTGTCTCTTATGTATAAAGTTCATCCAAAAAAAGTGCCCTGCAAAACGTGGAAGTCACGTTTTTTTCCTACAAGTTCCGTGATGCTTTGCCGGCACCGTCCTATCAGCGGGAGGGTAGAGGCGGAGGGGCGGGGTTTGGTGACAGCTGAGTGTGCGGAGCCGGCTCAGTGCTGCTAGGGGCGGCCGGCTGTTATCATGTGGGTGTTCGGCTACGGCTCGCTGATCTGGAAGGTGGACTTTCCCTACGAGGAGAAGCTGGTGGGCTACATCACCTGCTACAGCCGGAGGTTCTGGCAGGGCAGCACCGACCACCGGGGGGTCCCCGGGAAGGTGAGATTTGTGTGTGTCTGGGGTTTCTGCCCCTCCTCCTCCCATCAATGAAGATCAATGATCTTCTGTTAGAGGACTTTTCCTTTAAATGTATCTGTTATTCTTAAAGGGGACATGCACCCGAGGAACTGTCCCAAAGAGCAACAATTCCGGAACTCCGGCTCAGCCGCCGTTCGTGAGACCACCCCACGGCCCCCAGTGATGGCCTTTAAAAGACCACCCAACAGCCCAGTGATGGCTTTTAGAAGACCACCCAACGGCCCCAGTGATGGTCTTTAAAAGACCACCCAACGGCTCCAGTGATGGCCATTATGAGAATCTCTGTGGCTCGGTTCTGGCCGTTACAAGAACTTCTGTGGCCCAAGTGACAGCCATTACAAGAACTTCTGTGGTCCCAGGTTGTTGTAGTATCTTGTGCTACAGCTACAGTTCTTGTAATGGGCATCACTGGAATCATAGAGCTTCTTCTAATGGACATAACTGGGGTCGTAGACCTTCTTGTAATGAGCATAACTGGGGTCGTAGACCTTCTTGTAATGAGCATGACTGGGGTCGTAGACCTTCTTGTAATGAGCATGACTGGGGTCGTAGACCTTCTTGTAATGAGCATGACTGGGGTCATACACCTTGTAATGCGTATGACTGGGATTGTAGACCTTCTTGTAATGGGCATGACTTGGTTGTAGACCTTCTTGTAATGGGCATGACTGGGGTCGTACACCTTATTGTAATGGGCATGACTGGGGTCGTACACCTTATTGTAATGGGCATGACCGGGGTCGTAGACCTTCTTGTAATGGGCATGACCGGGGTCGTAGACCTTCTTGTAATGGGCATGACCGGGGTCGTAGACCTTCTTGTAATGGGCATGACCGGGGTCGTAGACCTTCTTGTAATGGGCATGACCGGGGTCGTAGACCTTCTTGTAATGGGCATGACCGGGGCCGTAGACCTTCTTGTAATGGGCATGACCGGGGCCGTAGACCTTCTTGTACTGGGCATGACCGGGGCCGTAGACCTTCTTGTAATGGGCATGACCGGGGCCGTAGACCTTCTTGTAATGGGCATGACCGGGGCCGTAGACTTTGTAATGATCATGACCGGGGCCGTAGACCTTCTTGTAATGATCATGACCGGGGCCGTAGACCTTCTTGTAATGATCATGACCGGGGCCGTAGACCTTCTTGTAATGATCATGACCGGGGCCGTAGACCTTCTTGTAATGATCATGACCGGGGCCGTAGACCTTCTTGTAATGATCATGACCGGGGCCGTAGACCTTCTTGTAATGATCATGACCGGGGCCGTAGACCTTCTTGTAATGATCATGACCGGGGCCGTAGACCTTCTTGTAATGATCATGACCGGGGCCGTAGACCTTCTTGTAATGATCATGACCGGGCCGTAGACCTTCTTGTAATGATCATGACCGGGGCCGTAGACCATCTTGTAATGATCATGACCGGGGCCGTAGACCATCTTGTAATGATCATGACCGGGGCCGTAGACCATCTTGTAATGATCATGACCGGGGCCGTAGACCATCTTGTAATGGGCATGACCGGGGCCGTAGACCATCTTGTAATGGGCATGACCGGGGCCGTAGACCCTATTGTAATGGGCATGACCGGGGCCGTAGACCCTATTGTAATGGGCATGACCGGGGCCGTAGACCCTATTGTAATGGGCATGACCGGGGCCGTAGACCCTATTGTAATGGGCATGACCGGGGCCGTAGACCCTATTGTAATGGGCATGACCGGGGCCGTAGACCCTATTGTAATGGGCATGACTGGGGACATGCAGGTTCTTGTAATGGGCATCACTGGGGTCGTAGAAGTTATTGTAATGGGCATCACAACCTAAGTGATGGCCATTACGTGAACCTCTGTGGCTTGGTTCTGGCCATTAGGAGAACTTGCACAACTCCAGTGATGGCCATTAGGAGAACCTCCACGGCTCCTCAGATGACCATTGCAAGTGCCTTCATGGCTCTGTTGATGGCCATTGCAAGAGCCTTCACAGCTCCGGTGATGGCCAATACAGGACATGTGGCATGCCGTAGAGGGTGTTGTCACATCTTGTGCTATCAAATTTCTTGAGCCATGTCCACTATGACCATTTTTTCACAAGCCCCCTGCTGCTTGCCACAATTCTTGTAATGGACATCACTGGAGTCATAGAGGTTCTTGAAATGGGCATCGCTGGAGTCGTAGAGGTTCCTGTAATGAGAACCGCTTAGGTTGTAGAAGTTCTTGTAATGGGCATAACTGGGGTTGTAGAGCTTTTTATAATGGACATCACTGGGGTCATAGAGATTCTTGTCATTGGCATAGCTGCGGTCGTAGAGGATTTTGTAATGGGTATCGCTGGGTTAGTAGAGGTCCTTGCAATGGGCATCACTGGGGTCATAGAGGTTCTTGTAATGGGCATCACTGGAGTCGTAGATGTTCTTGCAATGGGCATCAATGGAGTCATAGAGGTTCTTGTAATGGGCATCAATGGAGTCATAGAGGTTCTTGTAATGGGCATCAATGGAGTCATAGAGGTTCTTGTAATGGGCATCAATGGAGTCATAGAGGTTCTTGTAATGGGCATCACTGGAGTCATAGAGGTTCTTGAAATGTTAATAACTGGGGTTGTAGAGCTTCTTATAATAGACATCACTGCGGTTGTAGAGATTCTTGTCTTGGGCATTACTGGGGTCATAGAGGTTTTTGTAATGGGAATCACTGGGGTAGTAGAGGTCCTTGTAATGGGCATCACTGGGGTTGTAGAGATTCTTGCAGTAGGCATCACTGAGGTTGTAGAGATTCTTGCAGTAGGCATCACTGGGGTTGTAGAGGTTCTTGCAATAGGCATCACTGGGGTTGTAGAGGTTCTTGCAATAGGCATCACTGGGGTTGTAGAGGTTCTTGCAATAGGCATCACTGGGGTTGTAGAGGTTCTTGCAATAGGCATCACTGGGGTTGTAGAGGTTCTTGCAGTAGGCATCACTGGGGTTGTAGAGGTTCTTGCAATAGGCATCACTGGGGTTGTAGAGGTTCTTGCAGTAGGCATCACTGGGGTTGTAGAGGTTCTTGCAATAGGCATCACTGGGGTTGTAGATGTTCTTGCAGTAGGCATCACTGGGGTTGTAGAGGTGTTTTTATGGGCCTTCACCAGGAAGATGAAGGTTTTCACATCCAGCATGGACACTCCTAAATCTTCCTTTTTTGTTCACAGGCCTGAGGTTGCTAGGAGGAGGAGACCAATAGTTAGACCTTAGATTCCAGTGAAGCAAAGAAACAGAAAGTATAGATATCTTTGTATCACCTTAAAACTGTTGAAGTGACAAGTTTGAGCCACGAAGTGTCTGGTAAAAAAAAGTAACCTGATCTTCATTAAATACGATGACTCCAATCCATCTCTAGACACATCACACTAGATGTCCCAACAGGTGCCTCAACCATTCGAATCACTGACAGGTTTTTACTTTTTCTCAAATGATAAAAATGTCATATTCTTCTAGATCTGATGTTCCATTAATTGCTCCTTCATAAAGTAAATGCCTCTCTGACAGTCTCTGGCTTCGTACTTCCGTGTTTCTTACCTGGATCAAGCATGTAGTCGGGGTCAGACTGAGGGCAGAGCTCCTGATCGGCACGTTTGTTCTTTGGGTTAAACAATACTGTTAGACAACTTCAGGTTTTTCAAAAATAAAATCTGCCCAATAGATGGTAAAATTAAAATTGTAGATTACGCTGTAACCAACTCTATAGCGATGCCTCCCAGAGACACCCAATGTGGTTCAACCCATTTTCTTTGTGCACAGAACATCGAAGACGCACCTTTTTGAGGTGTGTCATCATGCCCGCTTCAGCACCACTCTGTCCATTTACAAGACCATTTTCATGTGTTTTTATGTTTGTTTTTAGCACGATTTTTTAATGTGTAATGATGCGCATTTTAGGCCTCCCACACAATGGACATTTTGCAAACTCTCGTAGAAGTCTCTCCTCTAGGCAGCAAAATTTTGGCAGAAAAAAATGCTTGACGCTTGTAAATGTGTGTAATGCGTTTAGATGCATCATGCTCTTGGGTATTTATTTCATTGGCCAGAATAATAATTTATTCTGCCTACTGAAATGAATTAACACTCCAAGCTCTAAATGCAATTTGATTTTATTATCATCCAATCAATGTGCGATTTTGATCAAAACAATTGGAATAGCTGTAACTTCCTTTCTGATCGATTTAAACTCAACCAGCCACAGCAGATAATTGATCATTTTTCATCAATCGGCAGCATTGAGATGCTGCAACTGTGAATTTTAATCAGTCAGATTATGAGTTTGCATGATGGAAACAGAGATACGAATTAATAAAATTTGATTACTTCTCCCAACGGTCAATCGAAATCCACTTCCCCATGTGTGGCATATCAGTCTATCGATTTCAGTTATTCCTATCAGGGGAGATCAATTTGCAAAAAGAAATTGATAATTTATTGAATAATATATGGCCAGGAGCAGATGCACGCTACCTATTGAGAAGGTCTACTAGGCTATGATTGACCTGGCTGATCATACATTAGTGGACCTTCTCAGTAGACTAGTAGGCCTTCTCAATAGGTAGCACACATCTGCTCCTGGATAGTCACGTACCAGAAGACCTGGGCCTTCCATGATCTTCTCCCTATATCAACCACTGGGTAGTGTGAGCTTGGAAAACCCAGCACAAGAGCACAATATCTGTGGAAATGATTTCCAAACTTTGGCAAATGTAAGTCCTTATGCTCACTGGACATTTTTACAGCTGATGTTTTTGGCTTTTGGCGATTTTTTTTTTTTTTTTTTTTTTCCTACAGCCAGTAAACTCCCCAGCATGTTATTCTATGTGTCAATGAACACACAGGCTTTAATCAGCTTGTTTGGGTGTAAAAAAAAAAAAAAAAAAAAACAGCTGGTGGGTTTTTAGAGAAGTTTTTTTAGCTGCAAAAACCCTCTAACACGGAAAAA